AGGCAGGCAGGCAGGCAGGCAGGAAGGCCGGCCGGCCGGGTGCAGTGGCTCACACCTGTAATCCCAGCGCTTTGGGAGGCTACAGCAGGTGGATCACCTGAGGTGAGGAGTTCGAGACCAGCCTGGCTAGCATGGTGAAACCCCATCTCTACTAAAAATACAAAGAAAGTAGCTAGGCGCGGTGGCACACGCCTGTAATCCCAGCTGCTGGAGGGGCTGAGACAGGAGAATCTCTTGAACTCCAGGAGGAGGAGATTGAGGTGAACCGAGATCACGCCATTGCACTCCAGCCTGTGTGACAGAGTGAAACTCCACCTCAAAAAAAGAAAAATAACTTAGCGAGAAAGAGTGCAGAAATAATGGTTTCCTTTGATTCTAAGTCTACTAAATCAAGGGATTTAGCACCACTTCAATGCTGTACTCCTTTCTCACTTCTCAATAGTGACTGTCTCAGCTGGCAATTATCCTAGTTCTTTCAGCAACTGGATTTTGACCTTGAAATCAGAGTCTCCATTCTCATTACTGGCTATAGCCTGTCCACTAGTTTTTTATATCAGCCATTATTCTAGAATGTAACCGAATTCTTACTTTAACTCTCTTAGATAGGCAATCCATATACTTGGTCTAGTTGTGCTGTTAGTTAATGGTATCATGCCCTTCTTTCTTTTTGCCATGTGTTTTGCCCTCTTATATTTGGGCTTAAATCATGATGTTACCCACATGTCTAAATTAATTGTCCCATTACTTCACCCTACTCTGAAAATATGCCTACATTATTTCTGCTTACTTTCTTTTCTGGTCAGCTATTTGCCTATGATGTACACTTATGACCTGATTTCTTTCTATCAAGGATAGTTGTTTTGGAGAAACAAGGATAAAATCCATTCTTTAGTTTGTTTGTTCAGTGTATATACATATTTACTTGATATTCTCAAAGTGCCAGTCACTCTTTTATTTGGTATTGGGATAATAGAGCAAAAGTTGTAGAATGATATGAGGCATAAATATATAAACCATTATTATCCATTAACTTACATAATGCATATTAAGTAGCACATATTCTGAGCTACACAACATGTTGTTTAGCATTGTGTAACAAAAATGAATAAAATAGCTTCTTCCCTCAAAAAATTGGTGGAAAAAATAGACATGAAAACAGATAATTTAATGCTGTGTGACATATCTGGTAATAGAATTAAAGAGGAAAATATAGAAGCAGGGTTTGACAAAATATGATACAGGCAAGGTAAGAAGTTTTTCTGGTATATTAAGAAGGTTGGCATTAAAGGAATATAGCAAATCACAGCTGTTTACTAACAAAGGAGCCAGGCATGGGTTGTTTGAATTCAAATTCCTTCTCCACTTGTTAACTTGGAGACCATGAGTGTGTAATCTCTCTAAGCACTGGTTGATGCATCTATAATGCAGATGAAAATAGAACCTAACTCATAGAATTGTTGTGAGGAATGATGAGATAATTCATATACCTTGTGCATAGTTTATACTCAGTAAACATTGGCCACTATTATTCTATAATCAAAGAGAGAGTTAAAGAGGATTTTAAGCAGGAGAATTATGTATCCAAAACTGTTTTAAATGGAGCATACTAAAAATTTTAAGGAGAATATTTTGAAGAACATGGACATAAAGTGTAGCAGGAACTGATGCTTGCGGAGGCGGCTTAGGCAGTGTTGAACATTGTGGATACATCAAGCTCTATCTATAGTGTGAATGGGGACACCCATGGAAGAGCATATGAAATGGATACATCATTTGGCTGAAGATGGAATTGCACAGAACACTAAAATTTAAGGGATAGTATCAGAAAAACAGAGGCCAATGAAGGATATAAAGAAGAATGGCCAGTGATGTGCCTGGTAATAGGCACAATCACAACCTAGAAATGGGTGGCAAGAAGGATGAGTAAAAACCAGGCTTCAGGCCAGGGCTACTTTAGAACTCATGATATGTCAGTTGATAAGTTAGGGATGATGCGAAACTAAAAGTTACTTTCACAGGGTCATGAATTCCCAGAAAATAATGTGCTCCATCATATTTCTTTAAGTTAAATGCCACCTTGATTAATATGAGATCTGGTTATGCTATTAGAGAGAAGTCTAACCAACATTTTTGTATTTTTTCTTAAAGGATTTTGCAGAAAAGGAGAAGTCCACAGCAAAGGCCCTGGAAGATGTAAAGGCAAACTTTTACTGTGAATTATGTGACAAGCAGTATCACAAACACCAGGAGTTTGACAATCATATTAATTCTTATGATCATGCTCATAAGCAGGTAAGCCAAAGTGGGAAGACTCCTTCATATTCCTGTATTTGTACCTTCAGAACAGAACCGTATGAATTTGACCTTATTTACTGTCATATAAGACTATGAGGTGAGAACATTTTATGTCCTTTTTTTCCCCTGGAAAGGTTGTGTTTTGTGTTTAAATGTTATCCAAAGTCATTTTTTCCTAGAAGTACTATACTACTAGAGGTAAACTTAGAGATAATCTAAGAGTAGACTGACATATTTATTTTAGAATTATATTCAGTTAACCCTTAAACAACACAATGGTTAGGAATGTCAGTCAAAAATCCACATGTAACTTTTGCAGTTAAAAATTCACATATAACTTTTGATTCCCTCAGAACTTTACTAACAGCCTACTGTTGACCAGGAAGAAGTTTTACTGTACCATAAACAATCCATTAATTCATGTTTTATATACGTTATATATATTATATATTGTATTCTTACAATAAAGTAAGCCAGAGAAGAGAAAATGTTATTAAGAAAATAAGGTAAGGAAGGGAAAATATAGTTACTATTCATTAACTGGAAGTGGATCATCATAAAGGTCTTCATCTTCATTGTCTTCATTATGAGTAGGTTGGGAGGAAGAGAAGAAGGAGTTGGTCTTGCTGTCTCAGGGTGGCAGAGGTCGAAGAAAATCCACATGTAAGTGGACCCATTCAATTCAAACCTATGTGTTGCTCAAGGGTCAACTGTATGTAGGGAAACCAGGACCCAGGAAAAGTAATAATGTCTTATTCAAAGTTACTTAACTAGTTAGTGATAGGTTTAGAATCCTAGACTAGTGCTAGGACAGAATCTATTACAGAATTGATTATAGTCTACATCTTTCAAGGACTCTAAGTTATAGGAAATATTAGGTCTTTGGGAAAGCAATTCTCAATAAAAGATTACATTTTCCTAAGCATACTCTCTTAAGAAAGTCAAAGTTGTTATTTAATAAATGGAACACTGAAAACAAGCAAACAAAAAATCCAAAAGGGAAAAGCCTAGGGGTAATCACAGGTGAAAACATTTCAGTTTATTTACTTGAAAGATCATATGGCCATCTATATTATTAGTGTTGATATACTACATGTGGCTTCTTATATTACCTACTCTCCAAATGTGAAAAAAGAGGCTCTCATCTGGTTAGATGTTATCCTTGCTGATTGAGGTATGGCGATACTGGCAATTTAGGAATGTTAAATACCACCAACTGAGAAAAAAAATTTCATGTGGCCAAAGATTATTGCTAACAGCTGTAATAAGGTACACATTCCTGATGCCAAATGTACCTGGCATGTTGGAATGTGTGGGTAAGTCTTGTATACTCTATCTTAAATATTTATTCAGATTAAACAAAAATAAATATTTTGTCAGACATCACTAGCATTTTATTGAGTGTATACTAAATATATATGTATGTGCATATATACACATATATATGTATGTATATATGTGTATGTGTATGTATATATCCTTGGGAAATGCAAGCCTGGCAAAGACACAGCCTTTATCCTTAAAAATAAGATATATGTATATAATTGGCTTCATTTCTCTGACAAGGGCTAGATAATGAGATAAACTGTTTTAGGATTGTAATTCCCAAATCCTAGTGTGTGTAACAATGACTTCAGAATATGTTAATTGTTCAGATTCCCAGAATCTTCCTCAGATATTCTAGTTCAATAATTCTGAGATAGGGTCTAGCAATCTATATTTTAAAATGAATTAAAAATGAAAAACTTAAAACATACATAAATGTGAACTAATGGCTATCACCCAACTTCAATGATAATCAGTCTTGCTTGATTTATACCACTCACCACACCTCCGCCACTGTTAAATTATTTTGAAGCAAGTGCCAGATGGTATATCATTTTATCTAAAAGTATTTCAAGATATATGGTGATGCTTTAAAATGGATGTTTTGATTATTATCTAACCTAAAAATCAACAGTAAATTTTTAAATACCAGTTAGTGCTCTTGTTACCTTAATGGTCTCATAAATGATTTGTAAATTTGAATTCATTGAAATTAGTATCCCTAAATATCCACACTTTTGGTTAACATGTCTTGAAGTCTCTTTTGATATATTTTAATCTGTAGGTTTTTCTGTCCCTTTAAAAATTGTACATTTTACAGTTCCTTTCCCACATTTGGGATTATGCAAAATTCTATACACTGTTATCTTTCAACATTTTCCTTGGTTTCCTTTTGACTGGTTTTTATGGATAGGGATTTGGCCAAATTCAGACATATTTTTTTTGTGGCAAGAATATATTAGAGGGTATTTTGTGTCCTTCCATAAGGAGGCATATAATGTCTGGTTGGCTCTCTCTTTTTTTTTTTTTTTTGAGACAGAGTCTCGCTCTGTCGCCCAGGCTGGAGTGCAGTGGCTGGATCTCAGCTCACTGCAAGCTCTGGCTCCCAGGTTTACACCATTCCCCTGCTTCAGCCTCTCAGGTAGCTGGGACTATAGGCGTCTGCCACCTCACCCAGCTAGTTTTTTTGTATTTTTTAGTAGACACTGGGTTTCACTGTGTTAACCAGGATGGTCTTGATCTCCTGACCTCGTAATCCACCCGTCTTGGCCTCCCAAAGTGCTGGGATTACAGGCTTGAGCCACCGCGCCCGGCCTGTCTCTCTTTTTATAACCTTAAGTTTGATGAGTGAGTTGAGGTACTATCAGATTATTGATCCATTTGTCATTAAGTTTCCACTGGCTTTTTTCCTCATTAATGATTTTGTAATGGTCATTTGCTCAAATATCTTTATTTGTATTTGTAAAATGATGATTCAAATTATTTTACCCCTTCTAACTGTATTAGATAGAATACGTCTGTAAAGAGAAACTTCTTATAAGCACCACTCCCTGTGGGATTTTATGCAGGTGGTCTTCAGGCTGAATATTAAGAAAAAATTATTCAGGGATTCAGAGAAATAAAAGACCAGGAAAGGTCTCATGCAATAGTGGGATTTGATTTGTGTCTTACACATGTATAAGTAGATGTTAAAATAGAGGATCAAGATGAGATGGCATTCTTGTCAGTGGAAATATAAGAAGCTAAGGTAAGAAAATTGAAGAGCATGAGGCATCTTTTGAGAACTGTAGGAAGTATTGAACTATGTGGGGTGAATCTCCCATACCAGGTCTGCAAGCCATAGCATCTCTTGTACTCTGGAATCCTGCCTAATCAATTTCCGTTTTTTATCACTTTCTTCAGTCTTATTTCTATTAGCTATCTAACATGCTGATAAACAAGCTTCCTCAATCATTCTATTCTATTCTATTCTATTCTATTCTATTCTACATGCACATTTCCGTCTTCCATCTATTTGCTTGTTTCATTTGTTTGTTTATTGACTTTCTGTCATTCTAACTTTCCTGGTTATTCTTCATCAAACAATGATTCAGTTTGAACTGTGTGCTACTGTGTTCATTGTGAAAAATCGACACATTTGGTCTCCACCTTCAGGGAGCTGGTAATCTAATTGAAGAGAAGACAAGTCAATAGATCTTGTGATACATTAAGTGTTGTAAAAAATTTATACATAGGACACTTAAAAGAGAGCACAAAAAAACTGATTCTGGAAAGAAGAGAAGATAAATGAGCTGGATTTCTTAAAGACTGAATAGAAGCTAACTGTGTACTCAAGAATAATAGGTCCTATATGGTAGAAAACCTATTATCAAGGCATGGGGGCAGTTAAAAAGTGTAATCTATGAAGGAGCAAATGATTCACTATGGCTGCTTAAGGCCATCATCACTCTCTTGGGGATCACTTTAGAAATCTTTGAAACTGCATCCTATTTACCTCATTCTCTTTTTGCAGTGCATCTTGTCCTCATTCTTCATTTTGCATTCTCATTTCTGCCATCATAATTAATCTCACTTCTAAATCATTGCTGAGGTCTTCAAACTGGACCCCCCACCTCCAGTATTTTTCCTGCTCCACACCAACCCATCCACTTATGGCCAGATAAATCTTTTCATACAACCCCATTTATATGATCACTCTTTTCCTAGGAAATATTTAGTGCTTGATGACTGATTTTTGAAAGGGTCTGAACTACTTATTATGCTATTCGAATCCGCAATCTGGCTCTTGCCTCCATTTCCAGATTTATCTTCTGCAAATCCAGAATTTCCCTACAGTTTCTTTAAACATGTCTTATGCTTTCCCACATGCTCATCTTGGATCACTATCTTCCCTCTCCCTGAAGTGCCCTCTTGTCTTGTGTCTCTTTTACAGCACATACTTCTGCATATTTAATGCAGAGATTGACAACTTATATGAGATATTAAAATAGCTGAGATTTCATGGTAAACTAATTTAACACAGCATTTTAAAAATACCTTTTGCTTGGAATCTATTAATATTATGGAGAATTTTTGTACATGCTTCCCACTTTAAAAAACACTGGAATAATTAAATTTGCTATAAACTTTGTTAGACTGCTTTCTTGGATAATGTTGAAATACTTCCATTTAAAAATTTATTTTAGCCCAAAATATTTTGAAAATTACCTCAATTTTGGATGAAGCTGAGTTTAATATCTTTCTTTTAAATAAAACTGAATTTTATATAAAGGAAAAGGAATTATGCACTGAAGTAAATCATGCAAAAGTATATATATTTTTCAAATTTCAAAGCTAAATTTGTCCATTTGGTTCTTCTTTAAGAGCTCTTCTTGATTGTGATGATGATTATAATGGTGGTGGTGGAAATGTGGCTATTTTTTGGCCTGAGTAATGTGAACAGTTGCCATAATTTTATTTTCCATGTAGGTACAGATGAACTAACTGGCTTCTTCTGTTGAACTTCCAAAAATATGCTTTTTTTGGTACACTTAGAAGTAAATCCAAACTCTCATGAAATCCATTCTATTACTCATCAATAGAACATCTTAGATCTGATAACGAAATAATTTTTGAATACTCTTCTCTGCTTTTCCTTCATTCATATATAATTACTCAGGATCCCACCACTT